TCTTCTCCTTTATCCAATCTTTATTGTACGGCTGGTATGTCTGAGTATCACAACGATAGCTGGTAGGAAAAAAAATAGATCAGTTAATATTTTTCATATTGCTTTTCATCATACATTTCTGCAAAACATTTTCTTAAAACCAGTAATTCTCAACATTTTGGAATCTCGTATTCTGTGTTTCTGAAGTAACCATTATTTTTTTGAATGCAATTCTGTAACTATGTTTACGCAGAAATTAAACATACACTATATTAATTCTATTTCAATATATAATAAAATATTACATATTTTAGGTAACAATTTTTAATGTTTGTTTTTATTTTTAAATCAACACTTACTTTTTTTTAAAAAAAGTTTAAGCTCTTTGAATTTTATTGTAGACATATGCTATCAATATAGTATAGCATGTCATAAAATGTGTAGTATTAGATGTATCATTTAGACTGTTATGGCTACAGAGGAATATATATTTGTTTACTTAAAAGTCGTATACAAGTCTTTATATATTTATTTGCCCAATCTGTAAAGTACAATTCTGGGCAATCGGCAATATGACATGCATGCCCTCTGGTGGCTTCTAAAATCTAAACACTCAATGACAAAAAAGAAAAGAAAAATCAGAATAATATTAGCTATCATTTAAGGAACTTAAAGTACTATTTAACAGTTGTTGTCTTTACAAGGGAATGCATTTTGAAAGATCTACTATCACAGCACTGGAGGTAGCAATTAGTATACTCCAATAGATTACTCCATGGTTTCCATAATCTTCTAATTAAATGGGTGATGTTGCTTAGAAGTTCATAATAAAGTATCACCAATATGTTGATGACACCCAACTTTACTTCTTCTTCACAAGAGAATCCAGTAAGACAATAGAAGTCTTGAAACAATAATAATGGAGAGGTCTAGGACTAAAAAACCCATTTCACTACAGGTAAAATGGAAGTACTGATGTTAGATGCTCAACAAGGGAAGTAAAGCTTGATTCTTTGTTAATAGGAAAATCCTTATGCTGCCTCATCTTGACCTTAATATAGATGCTCAAATTTGCAGTGTTAAGTTGTTGCTCCTCCAAGAGATAACCTCGCTGTGATTATGCATGCTATTATAATATGAAAATAACATTATTCTAGCATGTTACAAATCTTGAACCTGGTTTGGAAACTTCCATTGATTTAGAGTAAGACCGAAAAAAATATAAATTATATACCATTCTTGAATACGTATACTTTGTCTATGCACTGGCTTTCAGTGAACAACTAACTGCACTCAAATTAATGGACTAGTTGCACTTTAAGGAAGTAAAGAATAGGACTGTACAGCAATCTGGAACTTGGAAACCTGACACAAAGGAGATTGTACATTGCAAGGACACTTATGTTATTGCTTATACCTGTCAGAAAGTCCTTAAATAAGCTAGCCTTATTTTAAGATTTCAAAAGCTGTGACATTTGCCCTCCAAATCAGCATTTTTTTCCTCTGAATCCAGATTGCTGTACAGCTCTACTAAAAGATATATGCTAAGAAATGCCTCCTTCAATATGAAGTTGGCTAAAATCTAAGTATCTCAGAGTACCTAGTCCAAATATCCACGCTGGAAGACTTCAATATAATGATCAAGTAAAAGTCTCAATTATGATACATCTTCTCCAGGGGATTTTTTTCCTTCAGCTGATAATACTACACAATTTTCATCATTCTGGGAAATCTTTTCTTTTTAAGCCTTTATAATATTTTGCACTGTTACATCAGCCATTTTTAAAGTAGCACATAAAAACAACTCCCCCATAAAAGTGTACCAGTGAATTAGTACAATATAAAATACCTATCAACATATTCCTAAATAATTCCATTGTTCGGATACTTGTTGCAATTTCTCTTTATACTGAGATTCAGTATATTCAATATTCAATAAAGAACTGTTGACATTCCATTAGATTGTACTTATAAAACATATATAAGGTGAGATGAGTCTCATCAAAAGTACTTTTTATCTCACAGCAGAAAGCTATACATTATAGATGTACTTCTATTTGGGCCAATCACTCACTCTCAGCCCTGGGAAGGAAGTAATGACACCACCATCACCACCACACACACACACACACACACACACACAAAACTGGTCAAGAAAACTGCAGGGATTAACCTAGGCAGTCACCAGGAATCAAAAGTGCAAAAAAATATTGTCCATTAACCATCAGCAGCAAGTAATACTTCCCACTACGTTACAGTGGAATTCTGGTATTTTGATAATAGTTCTAACCAGTTAATACAGAATGCAATCCAAATCAGGATTTTTTACTTCACTGTCAGCTAATTTTAGGCTTATAGTAAATTATAAACTACAGTACCTAAGCATTGGTTCTACAATGGTAAATGAAAATTTTGTGAGAGCGGTGGTGATATTAATTTGACAAATAAATACTTTCTAGATAACCAAAGCAGTATCAGATAAATTATATTTGTTTCAAAAACATATTTACATTCAGAGTAATACACTCATTATCTCTCACATATTAATTCAAGAGGCAGAAGCACAAATCAGTAACATTAAAAGTCTAATTACATATGTGCAAACCAGAATATATATGGCAGTAAAATTATAGAATTGAAATTATATGATACATACACAAGGCAGCTAAGATCAGCCAAATCATCGATGAAATCAAATAACTGGCTAATATCATATGTAATGGAAGGGCTGTTAGGATTCATTCTCTTCAGGTGCTCTTCATACATTTTACAGACTCCTAAAAAAAGAAAAGGATGATGTTTAGCAGTTACATTACACATTTGTGCCACCTAGTTGTCAGAGTACTTGAATGTTAAGAAAAACATACAAGCAACAAGAAGAAATATGCTAACCCTACAAATAAATGTTAATTCACTTATTAGTTGAGTGGATAAATATAAATACCTTTACAATTTTGTATAAGAATTGTAAGAAAAGTGAGTAAGATACTAGATTTATTCACTTTCAACCTTCTGCATTAAATTATTCACAGAATCAAACTTTTCAATATTCATTTAGTAAGGGGTGGACCTTACTAAATATCATCTAATTTAGATATTGCCTCATTATTCTGCATCACTGACTATAGTGCCCAAAGCTGAGAGGCATTGGGATTCATAAGATATCCTTAGGTCAAACTGCTACAGCAAGAATCACCAATGACATTTGCTTCATTAATCTAATAAAAAGTACAGGCTTTACAGTTGTGCAATACTTCCAATCTGATTCTAAACCAGTGTTTCTAAGCACTTTGAAGCAGCTCTCTGTCCTTGATTTATGACCACAATTGAGCCCAAAATTTCTGTTAAGTAAGACATTTTAAAGTGAATTTTGCCCCATTTTATGACTTTTTTCCCTCAGATGTTAGGGAATCACTGCAGATGATAAGTTAGTAACCCAGTTAAGTGAACCTGGCTTCGCCATTGACTTTGCTTGTCAGAAGGTTGCAAAGGGTGATCGATCACCTGATCTTGGACACAGTAACAGTCATAAATATGAACCAGTTGCCAAGCATCTGAATTTTGATCTCATGATCGTGGGGATGCTGAAAAGATCGTAACTGTGAAAAATGGTCATGTCACTTTTTTCAGTGCTGTTGCAACTTTGAACAGTCACTAAACAAACTGCAGTAAGTTGAGGGCTGCCTGTATTATTTTAATTGGCACATGGTACAAGAGTATGAGACTTATTAGCTATTTTCCTTCAAATGCATCAGCTCATTTTAAGAATGAACTGCCCTTTAAAAATTCAATGAAAAGTTTAAAAAAAATTACCTTCCATACATTCATTTACAGATTCATAATCTGCATAAGTCCTGCCTTCGGGTCGTTTGGTAGGCTGAACAAGCAGAATTGTGTGAGACTGAAAAGGAAAGACAACAATCTTAAAAGGGCATCAACAAACATTGCAGAAGTGTTAAAAGTTAGATCTGTCAAATGCAAATATTTTTCTTCCTACCCACGCACACACCATTTTTTACATACATTTTTTACATACAGAAACCAATGTAGCTTTATTCTGATGCATACATTCTACGGAAGATTCACCCTCCCCTTTCAGCCACAGGCCTCTGACATGGTTCTCGATCTAATTTTTCCAGAACAATTAAGATTAAAAAAAAACAACCGTAAAGCCCTTCCGATATTAATTCAACTGTTACTACTCCTATTCGTTTTATCATTGGAATTGGTTTATGATTGTTTTTTCTACAATTCACTTTCAAATCATTAAAAAAAAACAAAACAGGCGATGAAACATCCCAATACATTCATTCCCTCTGCCTGAAAGGGACCGTTACTTCTCTTCTCCGCTCAAGGCGGGCCTTTTCCTTTGGGTTTGGCCAATACAAGGCAGACCAGGGGAGGGGGGAAGAAAGAAAGTCCGCCCGGAGTTGGATGCGACGGGGGCATCGCCTTTCCGAGTAGCCCCCCCCAAACATCCCTCCCGAGGGCGGGTTGGTCCTTCTGTCCCAATGCTGGAAATATTGTAGAGAAAAACGGGCGGGGGGGGAAAGGGGGGGTGGAATCCCAGTCAACTGGCCGACCGCCGCCATGGCCACCTCAGGCCCAGTGCAAAAGGAGTAACGAAACGAAGCTGTTTTATTCACGTGGAAACCCTCCCCCTTTATTTTATTTTAATTTTTTTTGCAAATAATGTCAGCCCGCCTTTTCAGGCCTCAGCCTGATAAAGCCGCTCACGCTTTATCTCCTTCGACTCACCATGGCGACTCGTTCCGTTTGGCTCGGGCGCGAAGCACAAACTCCCCACGACGCTTCTTCCCACAATGCATCGCGGCTGCCGGATGCAGGGCACCCAAGACTTTCGTGCGTCACACGAAAGACACACGCCACCCTTCCCACACCTCGGGTTGAAATCATAGAGATGCCGTTGCTTTCGCTCCCCGGTTTCAGAAGCTAGAGAGGCCTCTGTGCTTGTCCCGCGAGATTCCCCACACAGATACTCCTTTTTTTTTTTTTAAAGAGACGGAAGTTCTCATCTGGCGTCCCTCTTTGATAAGGGCGTCGCTGCTACCAGACTTTATAATAGCACGCTGGCGTTATTAAATCGGCCATCTTAAATTGGGCCGGAAGGGAAAGAACAAGTAAACCTGGACTTTATAACGTTTCCTTTCAACTGCCAAGTCTCCCGGAAATTGAGCAGGGGAGAGGAAGTGGAGGGCCCGACTGCCACTTGGCCTTTACGGCGCTAGCGGAGGGAGATGAGAGATGATAGCGGGTTAGACGTGGAAAGGGCAGGCGGGTTTTGTTCCCGCCTTCTGTTTCCATGGGTGTAATTCCTTATTGGCTGAGGAGGAGTTGAGCTTCGGTAATGAGGCCTGGTTCGCCTGCCTGCCTGCCTTCCCTCTGAAGAAAGCGGGGAGCCCCCTGCCTGAGCTGAGTGGGAGCCCAGCTGAGGGGAAGAGGAGAAGGCGGACTCCGGAGCGGGACTTTGAAAAGCGGCCTCTTCGGAGGTTTCCGTGAGTTTCGGCAACAAAGCAATTGAGCACTTAGTTTTTTTTCCCTTTTGCACGAAAACGGGGTGGTCGCCCCGCTTGCCTGCCGCTGAGGAGCTCGGCCAAGGTGGTTGGCCCATGTGGCTTTATTCGGAGCCCCGAGGGCGAATTCCCCTGCTGAGCCGCTGAGCCTGGAGGAGAAGCCGGCCATGGATGATTTTTTATCCATCAGTTTGCTCTCCCTCGCTATGCTGATCGGCTGCTACGTGGCGGGGATCATCCCTTTGGCCGTCAACTTTTCCGAGGTAAGGAAAGGTCTTGAACACCTGCCCTCCAGGGTGTGCGGAAGAATGCAAGAGTACCGGAGAGCAACGGCGTTGGGGTTTTTTTTTCCCCCGCTTCTGAAGACCGGTATTGAGGTGGGAGGGCTGGGTTGTAAAAGAACAAATAAATTCAACATAGTAGGAAACGAAAATCCTCCTTAAATAAACTTTGGAATAAGCTCCTCATTCAGGTTGGCGCTTTTTAACCTCGGTGCTTTTTATTGCAGAATTAGAAAGGTAAAATGGCAGAAAGGAAAAAAAAAATCGTGTCACCTTTGAGGTATCTTGACCACAGGTAGTCCTCGACTTACGACAGTCCGTTTATTGGCCATTCAGAGTTACACCGGTACTGAAAAAAAGTGACTTATGGCCATTTTTCAGACTTGTGACCATTGCAGCGCCCCTGTGGTTACGTGGTTTACATCTGGATACTTAACATCTGGTTCATATTTATGATAGTTGCAGTGTCCGGGGGTCCCGTGATTCTCTTTTGTGACCTTCTGACAAGCAAAGTCAATGGGGAAGCCAGATTTACTTAACTGAGTTACTAATTTAACAGCTTCCGTGATTCACTTAGCAACTGTGGCAGGAAAGGTCGTAAAATGGGGCAAAACCCACTCAACAAATTTCTCACTTAACATAAATTTTAGGCTTAATTGTGGTCGTAAATCAAGGATTACCTGTACTCATTGAGAGGATTTTCCTCTTCAATTCTTTCTGCAAAGCCCAGTTTCCTTTTGTTGTCAGATATGTTCAGCAGTTTTAAAGTTTGTCTCAGGGAATGAAGCCCTTTTAAAATTGGATATAAGAAATCATTTTGCTGTATGCTGGTTGTTTTTTTTCAGATAATTCCCCTATTCTTTTTTTCAGTACTGTTGGCTAAAACTTGAAGAAAGAAACATTATTTCACAGTTGTTTTTATCTGATCTCTTGCATATGTGCATTTAAAAGTGAGTGTATGAAAAAAAATACATGCCCACATTTTATTTATATGCAACGTAGTAAAATATTCTACATTTTGGAAGGAATACTTTCCAACATATTTTAAAAGATTCGGCAAGCCAAAGGCAGCTCTATATATTAATTGTCATTGTAGTCAAATTATGCACATGATGCCAAAACATCCTGCCCATGATATAAAAAAGTATTCTGGTTATAGAAAGATATCTGCAAACATAAAACTTATTTTAATATTGGAAGCCAAATGCAATTTCATTTACTGCACAATTCAAAAGTAAACTTCAAGTCCAGTAAAGCCTATGGAACTGTCACTGAATAAGCAGGAAGTGTATACTGGTAGTACGTATAAAAATAACAAAACAGAATGCCAGGTTAAAATAGCTTGAGGAAGAAGTTTTAGCTATGGTATATTATTTGTTCTATCCTGTACAAATACTTTGTTCACAGAAAAAAGAAACATGTAAACTTACTTGCATGCTTCAAACTTTTGCAAGCTAATGCCTGGTCATTTGACTTATTACCTATACTTAATACTTGTAGGTGATCATCAGGTCTGCCTGCTTAGAGAAAATAGGTTATTTTCCAAATAATGTGAAAAACTAATTTTTTAAACTGAAATTGCTGTAAGGATTTGAAAATGTGAAAATCTCAGAATGATTTAAATCAAAGAAACTGTAAATAGGTAAACATTTAAAATAAATATTATTTTTAAATTTGTTTTCTTAAATGCAAATTAGAAAATTTCTGTCCAGTTTTTTGAGTAGCATTCATGCATTTTCAGAATTAATTAGGCCATATATTTCTTCATCAATTTTATTTCTATGCTGTCACAATCAAGAGACTCTCAGTCTACTGTGAGCAGCCTTCATTTGTAAAAAAAAGTTTAATGCTAGATTTTATATGTAAAATGAAAAGATAATGTGAACAGCTCATTGTGAAAGTGTGAAATGCATGTGTCACATAGATTTGCATTGTATAATTTCCTTAATAAAATATAATAGCATCAGATGTCTTGAACACAGCATTCCAAGAGCATTTGTGGATTGTGTATATTATTGTAAACCATAAAATCTGGCTTTTGTTACTTTTAATAATGTCTGCTTCATCTTTAAAGGCTGGGATTATGTTGATCTTTCATATGATTAAATATTTTACTTTAGATTATTTTTTAAAAATATGAGACCTTCTGTCTTTTCTGACAGACAGTTCGTTGTCATTAAGCTAACTGGTGCTTATACTTTATAGGCGAAAATATATGTTATCCACGTGCATTCCAGAAATCTCTTGAGTGACAAACTTCCTCTTTTGAGATTTGTCATGTTACCAGAATAAGAATCAAACAGGTTATGCAAATATCAATGTAAAACAATCCTCAATTCAGATAATGTACTTAGAAACAATAAATTATTGTGTTTTATTTTATTCTCTTTTATTAGTGTAAGTAGGCATCCACATTTCTATTCTTTGTATTCAGGATGAGGATAATGAAAAGAGACCTATTATTTTTTGTTTGTGTTGGAGTGGAAACGAGACAGTGAACCATATGGAATAGTCAATGAAGGCTTAATTAATAAACAGCAAATACATAGTATGTCTAAAATACTATGGGAGTGTTTTATAGGGAGAACAAATACAGTATGGTTCAAAGGTCTGAGAGCAAAGGGGTCCATGACCTTTTCCAGTTCCAAGCTAGAGATGAAAATGGATTAGCTGGGTTACAGCACCACAGTTATCCACCATTAAAGTAAACACTGGAAATGAATATGACTGTTTTCTCCATATATATTACACAAACATGTATCCACACTCACATGCATAACAGCATTTATCTTCAAATTTCCTTTAATTAATTATTTTACCTTTTATTTTCAGGAAAGATTAAAACTGGTTACAGTTCTTGGCGCCGGGCTCCTTTGTGGAACTGCCTTGGCTGTCATTGTGCCTGAAGGAGTACATGCACTTTATGAAGATCTTTTGGAGGGTAAGAAAATGACTCTTATTCTGGTACAAGGAATTTGGAATAAAACAGACTTTTTGGTTCAGACTATAAACATTGAGTACTATAGAAGAGAGATTTGTTTTTCCCTCCCCAAAATTAAATGCGAAATGCAGGAGGACTTTTCTTTTTTTAAACAGATTTTATCCTGTGGCACTTTAAAATTTAATTGTGATATATTGTGATTTAAAGCTATATATGAAGTTATATAGCTTTTTCTTGGTTAGTTCCTTTCTCCAAGTTTGCTATGTCCTGGCTTTTACACTTAATTGTTATGATTTAAAAGAGATTTGTAAATTGAAATCCTGCAGACTATATGTTCTAATTCATGTGATCAAATTGAATAACAACTGAACTTCGTATCAACCACAATTCAGCTTCCTGTGGCTTTCTCTTCTTTATGTTTATAGACATTAGATGTTTCAAAAAACAATGTAGTAGCTTGAAGGTAATATAGAGGACAGGGACAGATCTATTTCTTATTTCCTTCACTTAATCTAACAACTGGATGTAATACTAGAGAATCATTGCAGAGGCTGAAATCAGATGAATAAATACCA